GATATATTTAATCATCTATTTTAGCCTTAAGCTTTGGTCAGTAATCAATCCTCACCACGATGAAAACTACCTTACACTAATTAGTTTTTTCCTTTGTTCTTTTAGTTTTATCGTCAATTCGTTGTAACCCTAACCCTAATCCCTCGCGCCCAAAACCCCTTTCCCCTTCCCTTTCAAACGCCTGCCACGTAGGCTAGTTGCAGCTCGACCGTCAGCATCTGAGCATTTATGACGAGGTCTTTTCGTTTACAAATTAATACATCACAAACTTGTGTAAGGTTTAGCTATAGCGAACAAGGCTCGTGTTGTAACATTGAGACCCATGGGGATCCCCCTTAGGCACCCCTGACTGACTTACATGCACACCCCGAAAATGGGAAACTGTGTGCGTTGTGTTTTTGACTTGCTTGGGACACGAACATGATGGAATAGTCTTTACTAGTTGTTGATTTTAGCTTCATTGAATGATCTTATAACAGCTCGATCACAAAAAGAAGTTATAGCCTGGAAGAGATGCTCACATGGAATACAAACTGTCGTCCAAATGTTTATCACAATCATTAGAGTTTAGAGAATACTGACCCAGATTACCTGTAAATGGTATGTCCTTTAGAGCTTGACACCACTTCTCGCGCTTATTATATTTTTGTTTGTGTTTTCGCTAACGCTTGGGACTTGTTTTCTCCAATTGATGCACTAGGGAACACACGATATGGACGGTGGTGTCGTCGAGAGTCAGGGCTGTTTATATGAAGGGAGGAAGATCCTAGAAGGTGGAACAAATTTTTACTGGGTCTGCATACAGAAAGTTCTGTCTGTGTGGTGTCCATTAAGAGTCAATAGCACATTAAAAAAGATAGAAAACAAAACAAAACAAAACAAAACAAAAACAAAAGAAAGAAAGGTTGAAGAAATGAAAGGTGCTCGAAACTGGGCATGGCAACAACTGCGAAACAACAATTGCAAATAATTGCAAAAAACAACAACGAAAATGGACAAATAAATAAATAAATGACATCCCAATAAAATGAAAATGAATGAACGAACGAACAAACGAAGGAACGCACGAATGAACGAACGAATCAATAAAAATATTTATGCCTTCCTTCCCTCTCAAACATATCAATTAATGAGATGCATTGCCTGAGCTCGTTTACTGGGCTCATTATGAAAGAGATACACCATATGGAGTAAAATGGCTAAGGGCAAAAGCCCAAAGCCGCCTTTATTTCAATATCAACATTCTATTGTCTGAAAAACATACTTGAAATATCAGCCCAGTAAAGGTGAGGGCACAAAAAACGCCAAAACAAAATTATACATATTTATTTATAAGGTCGACAACAATACGTATCAGAGAGGTTGGGAAAAGGGGAGAAGGTGGGTAAAAATGAAAATCGTCTTCACTCGATGAAAGTGTGAAAGAATGATCAGTAATCGATACTCGCCTCGATTTCATACAAGCTCAACTCCCTAGAGGGAAAATATGCTACAAATTTCCCATCCTAACAAATCTAATATGTCCCGGATGTTGTCACGCCAACTTTCTTTTCAGCGTCACACATTCCTAGAAAAGATATACTAAACAACAGTTCGGCAAAAGGCATAAAAATCCTATTTGCAAGCAAATATTCCATGAATGAATGCCCTCGTTTCACCATCTTCCTTTATTGATCCCATTTAGTACGCTTTCCACATTGCTGATCCTAGCAGTATACTTACAGGACACGTGTCAAATATAAACCTACTGCAATCTATTCGTGAATCTATTCGTAGCAAAGTGAATAAAGCGCCCACCAGGTGTTCTTTGGGTCACCGGTTGGAATCCTGTCGAGGAATCGTGACATGTTGTTTATCGGATCTTTCACAGTGTTTCTGGATTCAGAATCATGGACGATGTAATCCTATCAGTTATAAACGTTTCGAACTTGCTTTTATTTTTAACAGGGTTTCTAAGAGGTTCTAAGAGGGCGATGATGTCAGTTATACAGGTGTATGGTTGAAGGTGTTTATTGTTTTTGAACGCAGACCTAAAAACGCCATATACTTTGGAGATCGCTTACACCTACGAAAACTAAGGCCCCGTCCACACCTATCCGTTTTTGTTTGAAGACGGAGATTTCTTCTCTGGCTTAACCTACCGTCCACGCGTATCCGATGAAAACGGTCACTGAAAACGCACCTTTTTAAAAACGCTCTCCAGAGTGTAGAATTTTAAAGAAGCCGGCTTCTCATTTACGTGTCGACGGACGAAAACGGAGGTTTTCTAATACGATGATGTTCTACATCATATACTAATAGCATTACGCATACTTCGCAAGAGATGCTATTGTATTTCTATCATTTTAGCGTTTTCCTGTGGACGGGCGAAAACGATTCGAACACACTTCGTGTGGACGCGTACTTTTTGTAAACAAGAAAAATATATCCGTTTTCTAAAATATCCGGGTACGTGTAGACGCGGCCTACAAATGTAATTGTGAGAAGGATGTAATAGTAACATTAAATCAAAAGGAATATTAACAGAAATGAACAAAATCTGAATGTAATTCTTTAATTTTTTATATAAACGCACTGTAAAAGGTAATGAACTTTTTTCGTGCTTATATTTTTCTCTCAAAAGACTTATTAATAACTTAAGTTAATTATTTTATTTGAAAATATTCTTATTTTGATCGGGCAGAAGTGAAAGCAGCAAAAAAGGAAACGAATTATTCCTTGCAGTATACTTAACAGAACAAGTATAAACTTACTGAAATACAATTGTTGCAGGAGCTTTACGGACTGCAACTTTGAAGTCAATCAGTATATCCCCTATGTAAGGAAAGGCTGTTTGCAAAACGATGTAAACCTGCCAAATTTAAAGTGTCTAACAACGACAGTTGTTAAGTTTAGATGTTCGACTGTGAAGGGTTTTTTAATTTGCACTCAGGAGAAAAATGGAAAAGAAGAGAAAATATTCATTTGTTATTCAAATCAACAAGAGCTATAGCTCAATAGAGGTGTCGGCTTTTGATAATACAAGCCCATATTCAATAGGACTGATTGCAAGATAAACCCTCATTGGTTAAAACAATACAATTACTTTCATGTTATGCCTGGTAGAACGCTTATGCTCAGGATTATTGGAAGAAAATTTATCCTGTTTGACAAACTTGCAAAAAGGTACAGTACTCCTCCTCATAATTTTTTTTATTGGGATCAGCAATGATCAAAATCCACCAGTTCTGAAATTTGGAAAACGGAATGATGACCTTTGGTAACACAAAACAGTACTGTCACCTGCTAGCCAATGTTTTATTTCCCTGAATATACTCGCAATATGAGACACTACGATAACAGCTGGTAACCACTCCTGTACCCTTCACCAATTGATTGCAAACACTCTGAGGGCCCTGTTGCTCTGGATGTAAAACAAACACATAGTACGTAGCCGCTTAGGTCGGTAAGTATATTGATTTTGTCACAACAACTCTCTCCTCCCTACTTTTTGACATTGTTTTCCTTTCAAAGAAATGTCAACGGATGATGTCAATATCATCATGGAGTAAAAATGGAAAGTGTTATAAGGTGTATACATTTTCTCTTTGCCTGAAATATTTTCTCAGGTATATGAAATATTAATGGTAAGGCTAAAATTAGAAAATTTCATTAACTAGCACATAAAATATCCATGTATATTCTAAAAGATTATTATTTTTATTTTATTTCAATGCTGTAATATTTTGGACTCAGAATCCTGGATCGCTTGGGATGATATTTTGAAGAATCACAATATTGTTAGTCAAATAGTTTTTCAATATCATGACGAATAATTCATGAGCAAACGTTGCTCTGTTTAGATGCATGTAAGCTAAGGCGTATCTTCTTATGCATAAGGACGCTTATTTATTCTATTCTGCGTTCATTTTGCAACTATTATGTATTTATTTTCACATTATTCAACTAAAGATAGTTCGATATATCACTTGGTGATAATAGAAGGAAGGTCACATTAAAGTTACAGCGGAAGTCAACGTCAATATGACAAAGCGTGCGAAAAAAAACTTATTCCTCTTACCGTATAGTTTTTTAGACTGGAGATGCCTCTTTTATCTTAGAGTTTTATGGAGTGCACTTTTAACAGAGATTGTGCTTGAATAGTTCAAACTTTCGTTAAACACAAATGTAAGGAATGCATCTTTATCTTAGGCCATATATTTTTAAGGGCTTGTAAACATGACAGGCACACCTCACGCAAATAATTAACATCTTTATTTTTAAGACAGGATTTATCAGCCCTAAGCTTTGATCGTTAATGGAGAAGAATGACAAAAAAAAGCGGCGATCTACCGGATCGCTTGCAATGAGATGCAACCTCCCCCATCTACACTTTGGAAAAAGCCTTCAATATATAGTTGTTTCCATTTTTATTAAAACTTCTTTAGGGAGTATTTAATCTCAGTGTGTCCAGCTGTTTTCCTTCATTAGATAGCTTTTGTATCGCTGATATCAAAGTAGTTTTAATAAAAAAGGAATAAGACTGCAAAATATCAAACTTCAAGGGACACTAACTAGTATTTGACGTACTAAGATGGACAAAGCTGTTTAAACGTCTTGTACTTTCTGTTTTTGTTGTATCATTGGCGGTTGTTGTAGGCGTTTTTCCCAAAAAAGGTTAGTAACAATAGCTACATGAAAATACAATAAGGATAAATTTAATTTGTTTGTTTTAATGTTATGCGATAAAGGTGGAGTTGCTAAGGAAACCTTCCACAGCTAAGCCATCTGATAAATTTGACTTATAATTTTCGATCTCTGCAAGGCCAATTATAATAAATCATGTTGATTTGTAGACGGCTGATGTAGATCAGAAGGCTAGTTAAACCTTTGCTTTTGCGCGTTTTGTTTTTACAGACCAACCTGAGATGCAAATACTCCATTATTTATAACGGTTTTGTTTCCTTAGATCTGAATTAATTACATGACCAAGGGGATTAACCTTCAGCACCAAAGATAAGAACGGCACTCAGGAGTCCTCAAGTGCGAATAAGACCACCAACTCTAAAATGGGTATTTCATCACTAATTATGTGGTGTTCTGCCTTTGGAATAGTCGACATTCTCGTCGTTGGTGCAAATGTCTTGGCTTTGCTAGTGTTTAACTCGAGTCGACGGCTCTTAAAAAAGCGACATAACCAGTTCTTGATCGTCCTGGCTATCTCAGATATTATGGTTGGTCTCACCGTAATTCCCTTGTATGTATACCACTTGATATCCTGGTGGCTTGAAAGCCGTCCGTTACTTGGGAATGCATTGCGAGACGTTTTCAATGCTGTAGACATATTATCCGGATTCGCTTCTATCTTCACTTTAGCGGCGATTGCAGCGGATCGAGTCTATGCCATCGTGTTTCCTCTTTACCACAAAGTCCCTCCAAAGGGAGTTTACCCCTCTATGATAGCCTCTGTGTGGATGTTATCGGGATTACTCGTAGTCTACTATTTTTTGTCTCGGATTGATGTCTTACCGATAGAAGCGTTCATTTATCTTTTGCTATGCAGCATCTCGTTTTCTCTTCTAGTCATTTGCGTGTCCTATTTGCTAGTCTGGGCAAGAGTTAAGTGCTTTAAAATAAGCCACGGCCTCAAAGGAACACCATTTCGCGAGAGACGATTGGCAGAACTTTTATTTCTGCTAACTGTTATTTTTATCTGTACCTGGCTACCGTTTCATGTTGTAAATTTCATTTTCCATTTTTGCAAACCGTCGAACTGCCGTCCTCCACCCGTTTCTCTCGTTTACTTTAGCAAACTTTTACATTATAGCAACTCCTTTTTGAACCCCATTGTATATTGCTATAGAAACAGCGAGTTTCGAAGATGTCTGAAGAAACTGGTACGTAATTTATCATCCCGATCAAAACCAGTAATATCAGATAAGAAGGAACACTACGGAATGAAGGAAAGACGATTACTTTTAGAACGACAAGATGCCTTTCGTCGCATTCTGATCAAAGAAAGCAGGGTATGATTAATAAAAATTACAGACGGGAAGAACATTGCTTAATACTATCTTAGTAAATATTGTTAGACTTCGCGCAATTAAACAGAGACTACCACTGGTTGATTCTTGGTCACGTGACCTTGATTAAATTAATATGTATCCCGATCGTAATACAACTTCAGTTAGTTTTGATTCCCTCCCTAATCCTGATGTTTCCCTCGACTCACGGGAATTGTTTCCCTCGGGACCTAATCATGACGTTTGTGCATAAGCCTTTAGACTATTGACTTTGCTTGAAATCATTTTTCTTTTTTTATATTGTCGATTTAAACTACCTTAATAAAGTTAAAAAAAAACGATCATAAATATTATTGATAAGACACAAAAGTCATAAGCGTTTTAAATCAAATTACCTCGCTTGAAATGAACATATTAAATATAAGTTGCTGCCAACAATAGACCAATTTCTATGTATCAAAATTCATATTTGGTTACGAGGCTTGGAGAAATAAATCAAAAGAATATACTATTAATCCCTGAGCCTCGAGATGATTTCTTTTGGTTTATTCCCTCAAGCCTTTGAGCCAACTTTAATAAGCCACTTCCGAGTTCCAAAAACCCTCACTTTCAAAATGAGGCTAGGTGCACAACCTTTCAAGTGTGAAAATGAGTTTTATTTACATGAGAATGAAAATGATTTCCATATCAAAGGTTGAGCACCTACCCTCGTTCTGAAACAGAGGCCCGGGGGAACTCGGAAATGGCCTATCTTAATGTATCGAAATTGGTCTGTTGTCAGCACCCACCTCATTTCTACTACAAGTCACAGTTTATGAATCTTAAAATTTAGCTAAAATAGACCTTTTAGCAGCCTATAACCCAGAGAGAGCAACTTCCATGTACTCACATCACGGCATTTTTACCGATCTGTATATTTCTAGAACAATTTTGGCGCGTAAATATATAGACCAGTCAGGAAAACCTACAGACCTTAAAATGTTATTTTTAACCCTGAAAGTTTCCCTTAGTTTCTTTTTTCTTTAATCTAATACTTCTAATGCGCTTATATACGGAGCAGAGCTTCTATATTTTAGTGGGAAAAGTGCTCAAGAATAGTGACATACATGTACATGCATGTATGCCTAGTATGGGAGTTGCTCGGTCCTATTTATGGTCTCCTGACCAATTAACTTACATGTTTTGTTTTCCCATTCTCCTTTTTCGAATCCTCTATTATACACTCTATTGGCCCCCAAAGTTTGCATAATAAGATATTTTTCCAGGTGCTCTTGGAAACATTTTAGTCCTCTTAGGAGCGTTATAAAAGTAATAGCGTATGAAAAAATTTGGGAGCAAACAGGGTGTAATATTTTGCGGATTTCGAAGTCAGCACAAAATTCAGGTGAAACATAAGGTAAAGTCCCCCTTTGGCATCACTTGTCCTGAATTGGGGAAAAAAATCGAGTTTGTGTTTTCTTATCCTTGTACTAATCCCCTCTATCATTAACTGTTTGTAATTCCTTATAGTCTACTACTATCTGTTTGGTGTTTTCCTACTCAGACTGATCTACAATGGAGGTCAAAAGTACTATTATAAGAGGACCTTTAAGGGATATTTCTAAAACTGACGAACTTCTCCAAACAATGTTGAATTGTAAGCAAAATAGGTGGTAGAAATGAGTCATTTTTGGCCCATTATTGCTGTGGGGGGAGTTAGGGTATGAGCTGATGAAAAAATTGTCGATAATATTGGAGTCCTATACAAATTATGTGGAAGGTTTTTTTTTCAGCTGTTCCAAGTTTGACCTTTTTTCAAATTTTGTGCAAAATTTTAAGTTTTTCTTAATTCAATGTAAAGAAAAATGTATACCTTGCCACAAAAAGGGGTCGCCAGGGTTTTTACAAATTATACAAATTGTACAGTAATAGAATTGATCAGAATTGTTTCTCTAGAAGCCAGATATTGTCCGATTATGCGTGAACGAATAAATTAAATTTTAACATTTTAGTTTAAAGCTTACTGTCGCTATGATCGATCAGAGAACATAATTTAGACATTTTGCCTGCCGTGGGCGAGGACTGTACATTGTCTAAAATCCGGAGATGTTCTGTTCTTCAGTTTCTCCCATATTATTTAATGGTATCTCTTCATGATCTATCCTGGGTCCCTCTGGGAGAGCCTCCGCAGAGTATGGTTCTCTACAAAGTAATCTACCCAGGGCTATTCTGAAGTCGGGCATTTGAAATGAATAAATAATTGGATTCAAAAACGAGTTGGCATAATGAAGAAACTTACAGAAAAATAGGATATCGTGTGGCAACGTATGGGTGAAACAAAGGTCACAGAAGAAATTGATTATGTTTAACAAGTGAAAAGGTAACCACGTGACAATGAAGGTTAAGGTTATGATCAAAAGCATCCTAGCTACCTTCCTGTCAGAAGCTGAAGGACGATGCTGCGAACTGTAATAAAACCTAACCATGATCCATATGCCTGTGAATGACACACACATAAAAAACAAGCATGAACTCAATGATGACATCATCACATAGAAGAAAACGTCATAGTTAATGACGCGAAATTTAAACAGAAGGTGTAAAATGGTGACTATGAAAGCCAAGATCCAGACCACTCCAATAATCAGCAGGTATTTTGAGTCCGTGAAGACGGTACGGTGACGAAGCGGCCGGCAAAAAGCGTAAAGGCGCTCCAAACCAATGGCTGTTAATGTAAAAATCGAAGCAAAGCCTGAAGCAATGTCCACAGCAGTATAAATGCTTTGATATGTGACGTTATCCAGGTGATAGCACAGTAGGACAATATACATAGGGACTGTAACTGCACCCACAAGTAAATCAGCGATTGCTAGGTTGATCAGGAAAAAGCTTGCACGAATATGCAAGAGCTTCTTGCAACTAAAGAAGGCCACCATTGTTAGGATGTTGCCAACTATTATGAAAAACGCAGCGAGCCCAAACCCGGCACTCCAACCTGTGATTTGCAAAGTGGACATCTTTGGATATGTCGATCTATAATAATAATAATAATAATATAATAATAATAATAGTGATAATGATGATGATGATGATAATGATACTACTACTACTACTGCTACTACTACTACTACTACTACTACTACTACTACTACTACTACTACTACTAGCAATAAAAATAATAAATAATAATAACAAATAAAATACTATTGATTATGATAATTTATCTATCAGATTCATTTTATGAATTTTAACATAACTGGTATGTAGAAATTGTAAAGCGCTTTTGATTTTGATTATTATTAAAAGGATCTATATAGCAAATTAAAAAGTATTATTACTATTATTATTATTATTATTATTGTTATTATTGCATTTATTACTATTTTTATTATTATTCTGAGTATGATGATAAACCGTTTTTACCTTCGGTATATTTATAGCACGAATGCTTTCGAGGCGCACAATAACAACTGAAATTGGTGCTAATGCTGGCACCATTTCTTTTGCTAACATAATCCACTCAGCCTCGAAGTGTTTTGAAACGAAAGAAAGCTCATTATTTTGACAAGTATAGCCAGATAGTTGTATTAAATCCGTGCAACCTCACCCATGATTCAAAGAATGGTAAATAAAATCCCAATAAAATAAGATCAAATTGAATGTTCGAAAATGGCTGGTGAAATTGAATGAATTACTATTACTTGCAGTTCAGAAGGAACTGTAAGAAAACATCTAACCTTTTATTTGACTTCACGTGAGCATTTCTTTTGGTTCCTGTTACAATAATTCACGATTAAAGATTGCAACTAAACAATCCTGCTGTTAATATACAAAGAACCGGTAGTCTGATTTTTTTTTCTTCTTTTTGTCGTAGCTACCATCAAACTTGTATATGTCGGTACTTAAAACGAAAAATAGAATTAAAAAATACAGTAACTGTGGATAAATATTTAGAACGGAGCAAAACACTTGCCAATAAATGGACATTTCTGACGTATACTTCCAGTCTTTCCTTCGTTTGGCAGGTCGAAGACCAATGGCGCTTGCAATTTCGATTAAATGTTAATAGGTCTGTTAAGACTTAAAATGCTCTGTTCGGCTAAAAAGTAACAAATAAAACATATGCGATTCTAACAGATTTTTTTTGCTTATAGGCTTTTGATAGTCAAATGAGAGACTATGTAAGAAAGCTACTGACCAAACCCAAAACATGTTGATTTTCAATCTATAATGGCATAAAAGATACTAGACGGAGGGAAACCATGCATTAATCTCACCTTTTTAGCGTCTCTTAATATCCTGGCACTGGTCATTTAATAGTCTCAAGAAGGGGTTGAACACTTATCGAAGGTTTTGCGCTTAAAGCTTGTAGTCGCGAACCCGTGCACTATTAATAGAGCTGTTGGTTCGGAGATGAGACGTGCTGATGTGGGAATTTAATTTGTGCCTTACGCTATAAACACCCCGCAGGGGCGAAAAGTGTCATGCATTTAACTGATTGTTCCACCGGAGGCTTTAAATTTTTGCTGAAAAAGACCATTTTTTTTTTATGAAACTAAGTTTAATAAAAACATTCTCTCACCTGCTATAGAGCATAAGAAAACATTATCGAGCAGTAAGTTGTCGATTTACGTTAAAAAAGCTTCAAGTTGTTAGTAGATTATCGCAAAGGAAGGAAAGACAAAAGGCTTTTGATATCCCTGCTGTGTAAATTTAATAATCGGAATATTCGATTAATAGCATCGAGGAAGAAAAATATATACAGTGTATATGATACATACAAATTTAAGTACCAACACGGAGGGAGAAAATCTCAATATTAGAAACACGTTTTCTTTTCTTTTTTTAAGGAAAGCTAATGAAAAATATTAATTAAAATTCTACTTGTTTTGATTTGTTTTTCTATTTGTTTTGCACGATACACTTTAAAAAGAGGTTTATCAGCTAACAAGACATTTGGAAAATTTCCCCACCTGAATTTAATTCTCAATTACTCTTCCGTTTTGTTTAACGACAACAAAAAATATCAA